GAGAAGGATGGATGTTAACGCTTCTCTAAATGTTTGATAGAATTCGCCTGTGAAGCCCTCTAGTCCTGGACTTCTGTTTGTTGGAAGATATTTAATTACAGTATCAACTTCATTATCTGTGATTGGTCTGTTTATATTTTCCAGTTCTTCCTGGTTCAGTCTTGGAAAGCTGTACTTGTCCAAGAATTTGTCCATTTCTTCCAGGTTGTCCATTTTATTGGCATATAGTTGCTGGTAGTAGTCTCTTATGATCTTTTGTATTTCTGTGGTGTCAGTTGTAATCTCTCCTTTTTCATTTCTAATTTTTTTGACTTGAGTCCTCTCCCTTTTTTTCTTGATGAGTCTCTGGCTAAAGGTTTATCATTTTTTTTTATCTTCTCAAAAAACCAACTTTTAGTTTTATCGATCTTTGCTATTATTTTCTTTGTTTCTATTTCATTTATCTCTACTCTGATTTTGTGATTTCTTTCCTTCTACTAACTTTGGGTTTTCTTTGTTCTTCTTTTCCTGGTTGCTTTAGGTGTAAGGTTAGATTGTTTATTTGAGATTTTTCTTGTTTCTTGAGGTGAGCTTGAATTGCTATGAACCTCCCTGTTAGAACTGCTTTTGCTGCGTTCCATAGGTTTTGGATCATTTTGTTTACGTTGTCATTTGTTTCCAGGTATTTTTTAATTTCTTCTTTGATTTCTTCAGTGATTTCTTGGTTATTTAGCAGTGCACTGTTTAGCCTCCATGTACTTGTGTTTTTTACTGTTTTTTCCTGTAATTGATTTCTAATCTTATAGCATTGTAGTCAGAAAAGATGCTTGATACAATTTCAATTTTATTAAATTTTCCAAGCCTTGATTTGTGACCCAAGATGTGATCTATTCTAGAGAACGTACCATGTGCACTTGAGAAGAAAGTGTATTCTTCCACTTTCAGGTGGAATGTCCTAAAAATATCTATTAAGTCTATCTGGTCTGTTGTGTCACTTAAAGCTTTTGTTTCCTTATTTATTTTCTGTCTGGATGATGTGTCTATTGGTGTAAGTGGGGTGTTAAAATCCCCCATTATTATTGTGTTACTGTCGATTGCCATATGTATTGAGGTGCTCCTATGTTGGGTGCAGAAATATTTACAGTTGTTATATCTTCTTCTTGGATTGATCCCTTGATCATTATGTAGTGTCCTTCCTTATCTCTTGTAACAGTCTTTATTTTAAAGTCTATTTTATCTGATATGAGTATTGCTACTGCAGCTTTCTTGTGATTTCCATTTGCATGGAATATCATTTTCCATCCCCTCACTTTCAGTCTGTATGTGTCCCTAGGTCTGAAGTGGGTTTCTTGTAGACAGCATATATAAGGGTCTTGTTTTTGTATCCATTCAGCCAGTCTGTGTCTTTTGGTTGGGGCATTTGATCCATTTACATTCGAGGTGATTGTTGATATGTATGTTCCTATTACCATTTTCTTAATTGATTTGGGTTTGTTTTTATGAGTCTTTTTGTTCTCCTGTGTTTCCCACTTAGAGAAGTTCCTTCAGCATTTGTTGTAAAGCTGGTTTGGTGGTTCTGAATTTTCGTAGCTTTTGCTTGTCTGTAAAGCTTTTGATTTCTCCGTCAAATCTGAATGAGATTCTTGCTGGGTAGAGTAAAGTTGTAGGTTTTTTCTTGGTTGTAGGTTTTTCCCTTTCATCACTTTAAATATGTCCTGCCACTCCCTTCTGGCTTGCAGAGTTTCTGCTGAAAGATCAGCTGTTAACCTTATGGGGATCCCCTTGTATATTATTTGTTGCTTTTCCCTTGCTGCTTTTAATAATTTTTCTTTGTATTTAATTTTTGATAGTTTATTGGGTTTATCCTGTATGGCACTCTCTGCACTTCCTGGACTTGATTGACTATTTCCTTTCCCATGTTAGGGTAGTTTTCGACTATAATGTCTTCAAATATTTTCTCAGAACCTTTCTTTTTCTCTTCTTCTTCTGGGGCCCCTATAATTCGAATGTTCATGTGTTTAATGCTGTCCCAGAAGTCTCTGAGACTGTCCTCAATTCTTTTCATTCTTTCTTCTTTATTCTGCTCCCTGGCAGTTATTTCCACCATTTTATCTTCCAGGTCACTTATCCGTTCTTCTGCCTCAGTTATTCTGCTAGTGATTTCTTCTAGAGTATTTTTAATTTCAGTTATTGCGTTGTTCGTCATTGTTTGCTCTTTAGTTCTTCTAGATCCTTGTTAAACATTTCTTGTATTTTCTCCACTCTGTTTCCGAGATTTTGGATCATCGTTACTCTGAATTCTTTTTCAGGTAGGTTGCCTACTTCATCTTCATTTATTTGGTCTTGTAGGTTTTTACCATGCTCTTCCATCTGTAACATATTTTTGTCATTTCTTTTTTTTTTTTTTTTTGATTGGTGTGGCTGTATTCCTGTCCTACTGGTTGTTTGGCCTGAGGCGTCCACACTGGAGTTTGCAGGCAGTTGGGTAGAGCTGGGTCTTGGTGTGAAATGAGGACTTCTGGGAGTCCTCACTCTGATTAATATTCCCTGGGGTCTGAGCTTCTCAGTTAGTCCAGCGGTTTGGACTTGGTGCTCCCACCACAGGAGCTCGGGCCCAACAAGATCCCACAAGCCACATGGTGTGGCAAAAAAAAAAAGAAAGAAAGAGAAAAAAAAGGAGCAGTTCAATAACAAAGAATAAAAACTAAAATAAAATTAGAAAGATAAAAATACATTAGGAAAAATAAAAATATAATCGAAACAAATGCAACAAGGTAAAACAAATCCACCACAGAAAAAAGGAAAAAAAACGGAGGGGGAACAAGTCAAAAGGAGCAGAATAATAACAAAGTATAAAGAACAAAATAAAATTCCAAAAATAAAAGAATTATTAGAAAAAATGAAAATGTAAATGAATCAACTACAAGGTGAAACAGAACCCCAATCTAAAAGAGGAAAAAAGAAAAAAAAAAAAGCCTTGGCTATGGGGGGCAGAGTTTAGGCAGGGGGTGGAACTTAGGCAGGGGTGATGCTCAAGCATGAGGTGGGGCCTCTGCTTAGGACCTGTGCAGGAGGGGACAGGCAGCACGTCCAAACGGGAGCCTCTGGAGTGTGGAGTTCCAGAGTTTGGAGGTAAGGCCCTGGGTGAGGGTGTGTGGCTGGGGTTTATGCCCAGCGTGTTGGAGGGGGTCTCAGAGGGGGTCTCCGAGTGCAGAGGCAGGGCCGTGGGTGGGGGTGTGGGGTGAGGCTTGGGCTCTGCAGGGTAGGAGGGAGGCTCCAGGGCAGAGGATTAGGCCTGGGAGCCCAACAGGCTCCCCAGTGCCTAAGTGGACAAGGAAAGCACTGGCCACGTTCCCTTCCCTTCCTCCACGCCTACCCCCACCCAGGGTCTCCCCTGTCCCTGCTGGACCCCTAATCGTGGGCCCACCTCCCACCCCTCTACCCAGGGAAAATTTTCACAGTGGTTAATGGGTTCATGTATTGTTAAAGCTTGAGACAGTTAGAAGGCGATGTTCCCAGACCCTGGTTGCTCTTGATAGACTGAACAGAAAATAATGCCAGCTCCCAAGACTCCCTTCCCTTTGATATGAGTGACCATAGCAACTGGCTCTGTGAGCGAGTGAGGAGTGAGCAGTGTCTGTGTGGCAGATAGGCTGAGCTCAGTGTGAGCGGTGTGTTCAGAATACAAATCTGTATCCGTGACAACAAAAATATAAATGTATTTTTTGTTATCATATTGTAACCCACATACTGACCAAACAGGATATTTCACCATATATCCTAAAGGTAGAGACTGGGTATTGTTTCTTTTTTGTATTCCCAGTGTTTGGCACAGAGCAGCCTGACCACAGTTGTTAGATGAATAACCATGCCATAGCCATTTAATTTATTGAGTTGGTTGGGAGTTCCCTGGTGGCCTAGTGGTGGGGTTTGGAGCTGTCATTGCCATGGCCCAGATTCGATCCCTGGTCGGGGAACTGAGATCCCATGAGCCGCATGGCATGGCCAAAATATTTTAAAAAAAAATTTTTTTTAATAAATAAATAAAATTTAAAAAATAATTTATGAGTTGGTAATAATATATTTTATAGTTGGAAGTTTGGGGGATTTAAGGAATACACAGGCAAATTTAGATGAACTCCAGTTTTAATTTCATATGTGAATGTTGGGAGCTGAATTTCATATCAGATCTAAGGCAGCCTAACATAATACCTGTAAATGAGCCCAGTATTAGTCTCTGCCTCCCCCAACCAAATTCTCCCCCTCATGTTCTTGTGGAATGCATTCTGAGGTTTGTTTAACTTCATCTTGGAAATCCTGAAATAATTCCACTTAAAAAAAAAATTCACTCTGCAAGGTCCTGGAGTACAGTGATACACAGCACATTGGGTCTGTTGCTAAATGTTATTTTTATGTCATGGTTCAATTGTTTTTCTTTCATTTTTTTTTCCAGAATATTGACAGAGTTGTGTTTGTTGGGAATTTTCTCAGAATCAATATGGTCTCCATGAAGCTGCTAGCATATGCCATGGATTTTTGGTCCAAAGGACAGCTAAAAGCTCTGTTTTTGGAACATGAGGTAGGTTGAGTTCACATGGACTTAGTTGTCCTACATGGAAGTTTTTGGGTTGTCTAACATATGAGTGGGTTCCTTAGTTTGCATTTATGCAAAAGATAAGGAAGAACATTATATAAAATGGAAGCTCTATTATCCAACAATCAGGACTAGTAGATGGTTAATTTAAAAAAACAAAAAAAATGTTTAAATGATTAATCATGGAAAAAATATCTTCCTACTTTTACCATTCTATTTTAATATAAAATGTATAAATGTTCATTCACTCACCAATTTCTTGATGTAGGACCAAGACCTATTTTTGAGCATGGGTTCTGCTGATCAGAGCTCTGTAATTGTCTTTTTTTTTTCCATAATCCACAAGTATTATGCACCTTTTATGATTTCTGGTTTGTTTCTTTAAAGTAGATCAAGAAATTAAAGATACTTATGAAGCAATTTGGTTGCAGAGTCATTCTAGATTTTCCCAATCTTTCATATGTAGGATCCACCTAAATAGAGGGCAGTGGTTTGTGACTACCTTTTTCAATCTTTGTTTCATTTTTTTCCATTTTTATTGAGATATAATTGACATATAACATTGTATAAGTTTAAGGTACACAACAATGATTTGATATATGTATATACTGTAAAATGGTTATCAGTGTCAGTTTAGTTATCGTCCATCACCACACATTGTTACATTTTTTTTTCCTTGTGATGAGAACTTTTAAGATCTACTTTCCTAGCAACTTTCACTTGTTAACTAGCTTTTTAATCTTTCTCAAGAATTTAACTGGATTTTCAAAGAGGTGACCATTCATCTTGTACTCTTTTTATTGGTTTAGGTGGCATATAATTACATTAGATTATTACATTAACAATCAAACTGTCATAAACAAATTTGAGGATAAACACAGGTGACTCTTGGCAAGTAAACAACTCAGCTGGTGAGAACAGAAGTGCTTGGGCTGCTCCGAGTAGCCTGGTGGCCTTGAGAGGCTGGTGTGCTAGCCATTAGGCAGCCTGTTTACAGAAGAAGTGGAGCGCTCCGGTTAATGCAAAGGGGCCCTTATATCCAGTTTCTACACTAATACAAATCGGAGGTTTCTAAAACTGAGTGGGGAGCCCTCATCTCTTCCCACCTCTTCTATTCCCCTTTAAAATCAATACTGTAGAGAGCAGCTGTTTATCACGGGAGGTACCCAAAGCCTTGGGTATATTGCAGCAGAAAGAACATTGGGAGAACGAGTGTCATAAATTTTAATTGTAATGAATAACTACTGTGGCATTTTTCTCATCTCCAAACTGAGTTATTTATTTGAAAAGTTGCTGATGCACTTATAAATTATTTAGAGCTCTCTAAGCCTATGTTTTGTTTTATTAAAGCATCTAAAACAATACGAAGTTAAATACCAAATAGTTAACTGTTTAACTGTACTAAAGAAAGTTTTTGTTTTTGTCTTTTTAAGGAGGCTAAGGCATGAAGTGATATAACTTTTTTATGGGGGGCGAGGGCAGTGGAGTCTCAGAATTTTCACTCCCCCTCCTCCAACCAGAGCAGCTCCTTTTTTATCTGCTTAGTTACCAATTTCCCTTGTAAGATTTTGTTTAAAAAATAATTAAAATGAAAAAGAAGACCACTCTTCTAGCCCATCTGGTGTTGCCATATTTAGCGATTAAAAATATAGGACACAGTTATTTTACCTGGCATTTATCTGGCAACCCTAAGTTTAGATCCTCTTGGACTAAGGCAGAAAACAAACCCTGGAAGCCGTCAGGGATTAAAAGCCATCTACAAGGGCTTCCCTGGTGGCGCAGTGGTTGAGAGTCCGTCTACCAATGCAGGGGACACGGGTTCGTGCCCCGGTCCGGGAAGATCCCACATGCTGCGGAGCGGCTGGGCCCGTGAGCCATGGCCGCTGAGCCTGCGCGTCCGGAGCCTGTGCTACGCCACGGGAGAGGCCACAACAGTGAGAGGCCCGCGTACCGCAAAAAAAAAAAAAAAAGCCATCTACAAGGGCACACAGGTAGTTAGTTGATGGTAAGATAAGGAAAAAGAGCCAGCATTTGGGGGAAACCTACTTCTCTGGATAAAAAGGCATCCCCTTGTACAATCTTAGGCCTCTGTGAATGATGGCTTTGGTTTGTTACTAAGTATCATAACTCAGTCTCTATGACCGATGAAAGTAGAGCAATTTTATATCTCCTTGTAGGTGTTTCTCAGAAATTTCTCTACCTTCTTAGGTTCACTCTCACTTAGGCAGGTCTTCCTGGAGGATATTATGGAGAGAGGACTTTTGGGAGGTGCTGGTGAGGTGGCCTTCCTGCCCTGCCTGGAGTCCTCACTCACTCAGTCCCACTCACTCCACTTATGTAAGTGCACGTCTCCTAAGAGAAGTAGTCTAGCCAAGCCGTTGAGAGCACAGGCCCTCACTGACTTGGAGACCTTAGGCAATGACTCTACCTTTCCATTTCTGTTTTAGCTTTTGTGGAATGGGGTGATAATATTATTTGTCTCATAAAGTTACTGTGACGATTAAGTGAGGAAATCCATGTAAATTTCTAGCATATAGTGAGCCCTCAGAGGTCAGCTGGCAGTGGAGGCAAAGATCCTACCATGTAGTGTTCTGCCAGATGCCACCCATTTCGCAGTAAGTAACTGTTGAGTCAGGCAAATACCAGAGGAGTAGAGTCTCTTGCCTTTTGGAAACCAGCTTCTCTAAACATTTCCATTTTTCAGCTTCCTTCATTTTCACAGATACGTGAGCTTTTCCTTTACAGATGAGCAAAGGGAAACTTGAGCTGATTTAGATGCCTTTCTGGGATCTACTGAGGGAAGCTTAGAGCTATACCTTGTGAGACATTACAACTTTGAAGTCAGATAGATTTGCGATTGAACCCTGGCACAACTCATGGGACCTTGAAAGGGTAATTTACTTTATGACCTCCCATTTCTCATCTGTGGAATGGGAGTACTAATGTGAATTTTGCCATGACAAGGATTAAAATGAAATAGTCCTAATCCTAAAAATTGTCAACACTGATGTAGTATACACTGTGGTGCCAGATATTTTTCTACGCACTTTACATCAGTTAATTTATTTAATGTATATAAACAAATAGATATCCAATGCATTTATTATTATTATTATTATTATATCATGTTTCATGCCAGAGGTCAGGTTTTAAGTATCTTGTATCTATAGCATTAGGAGGTAGCATTCCTCGAATTATGAAAAACAGTAGGTATTGGACTAAGGTTCAGAGATAATCGTACAGAAGTTTTCTCATTGTTGTTGTAGGGTTATTTTGGAGCTGTTGGGGCACTGCTGGAACTGTTCAAAATGACTGATGACCAGTAGAGATGGGACAGGGATCCAAGCTCTGCGGCTGGAGAGGGTGAAAGCCACTGTGGGACGGAAGCCAAGCCATTATGGCAGATGAACCTGCTGGATTTGTAAATAATTAAAATCCTTCTAGCTGATCTTTTACTCTTGGGTTTTGAGCTTATGATTCAAAATGGGGAATACAAGAGTCTTTTCTGTATACTGTATTTTTTAAAAAAAATTTGTGCAGCGTGGCCAAACCTACCAGTCTTATGCATTGACTTTGAAAAATGATATGATGTTTAAGAAGGACCTGAAATGTAAGTGCTGTTTATTTTTCTTCTGGGGTTTACTGATCAGTGTGGTAATTTTAACTTCATTTAGTAATTACTCTAGGAGATTTTACCTTGACTTATATTTTTCATGACGTTTCATGATTTGCTGTTGGTTTCAAATGAAACTACAAATCTGTCATGTTTTACTGTGAACACTATTTTGTTTGTTTGTTTACCTTTTTGGGTCTTGTTTTTTCTGTTTGAATGTCTTAGGGAAAAAGAGAGTCCTTCCCCCTGTTTCTGTCCTCAGATGACTCCCCATCCCCCCTCCAATACCGTTCTTTAATGTAATTGTTCATATTAATCAAGGTGCTGACCAACTCAATACAAAGTTAAGCACGAGATCTAAAGCTCTCAAAAGTGCCCTTGAAGAGAAAACTCTGAAAAAGTGTTCATGAATTTAGTGAGTCTGGCAAAAGTTGAAAATTATATGCAATTTTGTCGTATCCCTTATGAACATGTTGTGTTGCGGTAGATTTATTTTATGTTAGGCTATGTTAAATTGAAATGTTCTCTGATGAAGTGTCCTCATCCATGCACAGCGTATGAATGGCAACAAATCCTTGTGCAAGATATTGGGATTTACAGGGGAAAGTCTCCCGGTAGATTAACTGTTCACGTTGGGATGTTTAGGAGAAGTCATGGGTTGAGATGTCATGTGGTAATATCTGTGTTTTGTACATGTATGTAGCTAGGAGCTTTGTAACAAGGCGTCTTAAATAATAATAAAGTTGTTTTTTATTTGAAATATTTTAAACTGTATTTCAATCCCACTTTCTAAAATTAAAAAAAATTATTATACTGATCTATATATTTTTTTTGTTTGAAAGATCATTGGGACTGATGGGTAACTTTCAAATGAGAGTCTCATACAAATACTGAAACACATGAGATCTAATGATTTAGAACTAATTAATCTTTTGAATTGAGCATATTGCTGAAAGGGATTTTTGAAGGGCAGTACAATTGCTCCATGATGAAACTTTCCTTCTCTGCCTCTGGGCACTATCTTTAATTTCCATGTCTTCAAGTCTTGAAGAAGTTGATGTTAATGGAAGTATTCTCTTGTCTGGTTGAAATAAAGCCTGTTTCTGTTGTGATTTTTTTTAGTGTATATGTTATTTTCATTTCTTAACCTTTATGTCCATCTTATCTGCTTTTGTGTCATAAAATGAATATGTGTTGTACTTTTGCTACTCTACATTTCATAACTTGAAGCTTTCACATAAGCATGGTAAGGTCCAAAACACTGTGTCTTCAGTTGAAGCTGTAGCCCTATGCAGGGTTTTTTTGTTTTTTTTTTTAATGTAGCTTTATTGTTCTTATACAACTAACTCCTTATTCCCAAAAGATCACTACTATATTTTGTTATTCTGAAAGAGTTCCAAAATTTGGTCATCACAATTATATTTGATCAACTTACGCCTGGCTTAAAAAAATTCAAGCAATTAAGATGCTCTTGAAAAAGGTAAGTGTGAAAATCCACATATCCTCTGTGATAGTACCTTTTTTAGATTGTTCTCTTCTGCCATTCCTACTCTCATCTGTTAGGGAATAGCACCCCTTGGATCATGGTTCTGCAAAAAATAAAATCAGGGCAAGTTAGTATGACTACATAATTTTTTAATTATCTGGAATTACTTGATCTCTCATTACAAATGTTTAAAACATGAGGAGATAAATTACTCCGTTATACAAATATCAGTTAAATGTTGTTTACTTATAGCCAGCATTTTTTTTTTTTTTAATGAGGGAGTTGTAGCCTGAGGAATTTTTTTACATTCACTTGAATTATAGAAACTTTCCTTTGTCTCAACATCATGAAGAAACTTGGCAAGACTAAAGAATTTTTATCTTGAACTCCATGAATTCAGGGTGACCAGGTGGTCCAGAACATGACTTTTGGTTCTGAGACAGCTGCAGTTTTGATCCAGCTCAGCTATTCACAAGCTTTGTGGACAAGCTGCTAACCCTCTCTCTAAACCCTAATTTTCTCACTCATAAAATGGGGCAAATAGTAGTTTTTACCTATGTATTTAAAAAGCTTAGCACAAGGGCTAACACATAGTAAAAGCGTCATTAATGCTAGCTATGCTGGAAAAAAAATAGATGTTTGTAAATTAATGCATTAAATCAGTGATTTCTAAACTGGAATGTGGGGAATCCATTTTAGCATAAAACATCACACAGATCTGCATATGCTAGTACACGTCTACAGCCCCATATCCACACTTCCAAAATCCCAAACTCTTAACATTTCTCCTGACAGAAAAATTCAAGACAGAAAAAGTTGATTTGAGCATTATTTATCATTCTCTGGAGGGCTCTTCACATGTTTTGTTGCAAAGCTATTAATGTGTTTGATTACAGGGTCTGCCCGAGACCCTACCAGAGGTGTTAATTAAGTAGGGAGCAAGGGCTTCCCTGGTGGCGCAGTGGTTGAGAATCTGCCTGCTAATGCAGGGGACACGGGTTCGAGCCCTGGTCTGGGAGGATCCCACATGCCGCAGAGCAACTGGGCCCGTGAGCCACAACTACTGAGCCTGTGCATCTGGAGCCTGTGCTCCACAACAAGAGAGGCCGCGATAGTGAGAGGCCCGCGCACCGCGATGAAGAGTGGCCCCCGCTTGCCGCAACTAGAGAAAGCCCTCGCACAGAAACGAAGACCCAACACAGCCAAAATAAATAAATTAATTAATAAACTCCTACCCCCAACATCTTCTAAAAAAAAAAAAAAAGTAGGGAACAAGTGTGAATCTTAAAAGTGGTCTCAAGAGTTTCAGATAAAGGACTCATGGAAAGATTTACCTGTATTCTTCAGTTTATGTACTTTTCCATATTCCATATTTACATGGATTCAGAGTCCCTTTGTTGGGAACCATTGTTACAGGTAATTTATACTTGACATCATTCAGTCATACAAGGAATATTAAGAAGTTATTTTGTGCCAGGAAGGAGCACTGAGTAAACTAGGAGGAATAGGATACAACCCCTGCTGTCCAGTGTGGGGAAGACAGAAGTCTTAAACCAACACATATAATTAAGTGTCACAGGTGTCATTCATTCATTCATTCACAAATATTCACAGCAGTGAACAAAACAGACCCATCCTCACAGACCTTACATTCTGGAAGGAAAGACAGATACATACCTAATTACATAATGTTACATCAGTACTACAAAGAGAAAAAGTAAGGTAGAGGGGCCTCAGAAGGAGGTAATTCTGTTTAGAAAATGAAAAGGGGATTGAAACTTCTCTGGTTAGAGTGCTCAAAGACAATCTCTCTTAGGAGGTGACGTTGGAGCAGAGGTGAATAAAGCTGAGAACACACCATGGAAATACCTGGGAAAAATACTTTTACTCCTGGAAAATGAGAATGGAGGTTGTGAAGACCTGTAAGGAGGCCAGTCTGCCTGGAGTAAACAACGGGCAGAGTGGTGGGAAATGCAGTTTTAGGAGTAGCCGTGGACCAGGTCCTATACAAAGTCCCACAACTGGGGGTAGAAAACTGCCCTTGAAGGAGGCATTGGTCCCCTCTCCTGGAGGAGGGTGCAAGAAAAGTTTTCACAGAGTCTTAACCAACAAGTAGAGACCACCGAGTAGAGCAGGATGAGAGAAGCACTGAGAGAAGAAACAACCTGGCTTGTCCGGGATGCCGTTTGCTTCAGCCGGAGTGTGGTTAGTGGGAGCGAAACCAGATACTAGGAGAGAAGAAAACAGATTATGGAAGGACTCGTATTCCATGTAAAAGATGTTTCTGTAGTCAGTGTGAAGCCATCAAAGAGTGTCAAGTAAAGTGAAACTAGAATTAATCTGGCTTCAAAGTGATAATAGAGCAAAGTGATTCTGCTTATATAAAATGTCTAGAATAGGCAAAGAGACAGAAATTCGATTAGTGGTTTCCCAGGGCTGGGGATTTGGAATAAATGAGGACTTACTGCTAATAGTTACGAGGCTTCTTTTTTGGTGATGAAAATGTTCTAAAATTGATTGAAGTGATGATTGTGCAACTCAACTAGAAACCACTGAATTAATTAAATGGTATGTGAATTATATTTCAGTAAAGGTACTTTTCAAAAATAAGTTAAATTTGAAGGTTGAAAAAATCCTTTAAATACAGCACAAAAGTGAAATTAGGTATGTTAATTGGATATTCTTTATTTTAACCTAATTGGTGTCATTTTCAGTTTTGTAAAATATTCTACTCGTTGTATTTGATTTTCTACCTTCTTTCTCCTGTACATTCCTTGAACATTTTTAGACACAACAACCAAGTGCATTTAGTCAGATGTGTATGGCAGAGTTGATGTGGTTACAATAGTAAATAATAAATAAATGTCAGCAGCCTCAGCCCCCGTTGCCTAAGGTTTCTTTTTTTTGAACAAATGGATTTCCTTTTTAATTTTTGCAGTTACAGCTTAATAAGAGTTTTAATTTTCCCTTAGATTTAAAACAACTAGAAAGAATTGGACTTTTTTTATATTAGACTTTTTCTTCTCTCTTCTCTTCCTCCCCTTCACTCTGTTCATGAAATTTGCTCTTGCTATTTTAACCAGGTTCAGCATCTAAAGAACTCATGTCATTTGGCTGCCATAATGTGGCTAATGAGTTGTCTATTTTAGTTCCAGAGTGAGGCAGGTAGTCTATGTCTTCTTGTGTACCTTTAAGAGATACTTAAATTGTAATTTTAAAGAAAACTTAAATTTTAAAATAATTGTTTTCCATTGACTACTCGTTTACTTACCCTGACTTATTAAATATTTTTTCATGGTATGTTCTCAGACTATGTTTTCTAGCATTTTTCTTGTGTTTGCATACTTGTGTGAGTGTGTATACATGGTGCATTGAGGAAGAAATAAACCCCAGGTTAATCCTGCAAGTAATGCATCTGGAGTTTATATGAGAACCATAATTTATGCAGAGTGTATTTTTAAATTCAGTACTTGAACAGTTTGTCAAATGTTACATTATTTTAAATGTAGGCCAAGAGTGTTTCTGTATTAAGCTCCACAAGTGTGTGGGTTAAAATTAGGCAAGTTAAATTGGATTGTGAACGTTAAACAGGAATATTTTTAAGCATTCTCCTTTGGGGTTTGATTACTATTTATATTGGATTTATAAATTTTGAAAGAAGCAGTCACTCTTGTCTGTCTGTTCACGTGCCAACATCAACATTGAATTTATCAAGTAATTATTTATGCAATGTTTAGACAGGCAAAATGAAATGGAGAAGGGAACCAATTATCTGTGGATCCTACCCACACAGTTTTCAGCAACTGCAGAGAAAATGGGTTGGTTGTCAAGAACAACTGTTTTGTTGACTCTGCCCTGAACATTTAGTTAATTATGCAATTCTTCCTGTCCTTTAGCCTGCGTTTCTACATTCCATGCCTGGCCTCAGCTGTCCGTGTCAGTCATGACTGTGGTCGTTAATTAACCACGACGACTGCCTCAGCAAAATCAAGCTGGAGGAATCCCTGTCCATTACAAAGCTTGGTCTCGGGGAACCTTAAGGACCATTTCACCTGTGGCATAATCTATTTTAGTGGCCATCGAGAAAGATACTACCAAGATATAACCACCCTTGGATATAAGAAATTAACCTTTTAAAAAGGGTATATGACATTAAGATTTGCTTTAAAAAGAAAACGCCAAACTGAGTCTCATTTTCGGATCCCACGCAACTTCCAAACACTGGCATGCAAACTTTAAGATTTATTAACTCATTATATAATGTTAACTATCGATTAGTTAGTTAATTAAAGCTCATGTTTTAATGTCAGCTTTTACCTATTGACCCAGTGCTGCAAAAGAGAATTTGGAAGCAATGATGGAGTCTTAACATTTCAACTCAGGGGAAATCAGTTTTGATCATTCAATTGGTAAGTTGCAAAACTATGCTAAAAGCCTTGCCCAGAGTAAGGTTACCAAGTATGAGAAGCGAAAATTAAACTTTTTGCCTTTATTCTAATTTTTAAATTCCTAAATAAATGTGAACTGTTTAGGGAATATCAGTTAGGAAGGAGCCAACTTATTAGCCTGCTTTAAACTCTCTTGAACTCTCACAGGTTCTGACCTGGCACCGGATGAAGAGGGAGGGCTTGGGACAGAGAAGACCTTTAACATTCTTCCAAACCTGCATTTCTTTGATTCTAAGAATTGGGCATTGAGCCTACCCTTTATAAAGTTATCACATGAGAATAAATGGTGTTTACACGGAAAAGAGCTCATAACAGTGACAGCTCTGAGGGATTAAGCCTTTCATGTGCTTGGCATTCCGTGTACATAACCTCCTTTAATCTACCCAGCAAATGAACATGGTGGGGATTCCTGTCTCCATTTTACAGAAAAGACTGAGGTTTGGAGAGGTAAAGGAGCATGCCCACGATACCCATCACCAAGAATCTTGAAATGGCCTTTCGGGAAAAATCAAGGCTTCTTTGAGTCCAAATGATCCAGACATTTACTTCCATTTTCCAAAGGGATTGTATATAGACACAATGTCTGACTGTGTAACTATCACTCCTACCATTCATCTCATTGAAATTTCTTCATACCCAGGCTCAATATTTCACA